AACTAGATAAAAGAGCTCTTTGCTGTATCTAATATTTGGATTTCTGCAGCCTAGATCTGATAGTCATAGAATTGGATATAAATGATGTTTACTAATATTACTTACAGCACCAAAAATGAAGTAACAAGAGAAACTTACTTTCTGGACCATATAAGAATAAACGTGAATTGTAAAGTAAAAACTAAATACAGTGATGCTTCCGTAGTATCTGCCAAAAAAGCCAACACAGGGCTAGGCTGCATTAACAGAGGGATAGAATCAAGATCACATGAAGTGTTAATACCACTTTACAATGCCTTGGTAAGGCCACACTTAAAATACTGCATCCAGTTTTGGTCACCACGATGTAAAAAGATGTTGAGACTCTAGAAAGAGTACAGAGAAGAGCAACAAAGATGATTAGGGGACTAGAGGCTAAAGCATATAAGGAACGGTTGCTGGAACTGGGTATGTCTAGTTTAATGAAGAGAAGGACGAGGGGGGACACGATAGCAGCGTTCCAATATCTCAGGGGTTGCCACAAAGAAGAGGGAGTCAAGATATTCTCCAAAGCGCCTGAAGGCAGGACAAGAAGCAACGGATGGAAACTAACTAAAGAGAGAAGCAACTTAGAACTAAGGAGAAACTTCCTTACAGAACAATTCATCAGTGGAACAACCTGCCTCCAGAAGCTCCAACACTGGAAGTTTTTAAGAAGAGACTGGACAGCCATTTGTCTGAAATGGTATAGGGTTTCCTGCCTGAGCAGGGGGGTTGGACTAGATGACCTCCAAGGTCCCTTCCAATATTATTATTATTATTATTATTATTATTATTATTATTATTATTATTATTACTATTATTAACTAGAGGTTAGCATAACATGCAAATTCAGCCAAAGATTCCCTGTTCAAATGTCCCTACACTCCTTTTTCAGGTGGGATTTTACTGTTCGTTTTTTTAAATCGCCTAATTTACTACGAATGTACATATACATGGATTTGTATCTGCAGAAAGATGTGATTCCAAATTCAATGATCAGGCAAAAAGTGCCACTGAATTCAGAGAGAATTACTTACAAGTCAATGTATATATTATTGCAAGGTAAAGCTTCACTTCTTCTGATCTACTATATCCTATGGCTATTGGTTTATATGCACTTACCTGTGTAGACATTTAAGAACATTAAGAACAAGATTTTTTTAATTTCTTTAGTTTATCTTATCCTAATTTAATTTCATTGCTTAATATCCCACCAGCATTTGAATTTTATTAAATTCAGAAGATTTGCTCACCTCTAAGTGACTCTGGATTTGGTTAAAGCACCTGTTAATACTGCTTGAATGATAATACAGCTGAGTGAGCAGCAAATTCATTCTTCTCTAAGCTTAAGCTGAAACTTATCTCCCGCAATCGCACACACCCCTCTGCTGGATCTAACTGAGAACCACCACCTACAGCCAGTGTAGTGAATTAGTCAACAACCTGAAATCTGAATTCTCTGCACGCATCAAATGGGAACTTCCTAATAGTTCAACTATCATAATAGATCTAGTCATCAATCTTTCAAATACCCAGTATAAGTGTTCCTGCGTCAATCATGGACAGCCAAACAATAGAGTCATGGCTTATGTGTGGTATGCACGGTAAAAATAAATGTATTTGTAGAATTAAAGGGGGAAGAAGGAAAGAGGAATGTTACTACTATATATTGAAACCAGCTGAGTATCATGTGAACAAAAGAAGAGAAAACTAACAATGTTGGCTGGTTATTTTTAGTCTCCCTGCTTCTTGACCAAGTCTGTTGCCCCCAAAGAATCTTAATATGTATTTTCCAGATCACAGGAGCAAAAAAACAGAACTTTGTGTTTGGGTGACATTTTTGGAAATTCTTTAAAATTTATTTTAATAATATTTTTCACTAAATGTATCTGAGTTCATTTTATGATACTTCAATCTAGACTATCCCACTCCCATTGGATCTATGGGGCAGATAATATATTGTATTGTTTAGGGTTCATTTGTAGCGTGAATTATCAGACTAAAATTCCAAATTGAAACTTTTGCACAACTTGGATAAGCATATCCACTTTTTCCCTGAACAGCTGCCCAATCCCATCTTTCAGACTTTGTTTAATCTCTTACTACTCTTTATTTCTGGCAAGATTGCAGTACAGCCCCCTCATTTCCACATCTTTTTCAGAAGCTGTCGATCTGTTAGTGGTCTGTGAATCATGTTTAATTTCATCTCAAGCAGGTAGTGGGGAGAGTATTAGTCCTACAAGGTAGACCAGACTAAGAAAGCAATGACACTTATGTCAGTATTTATATACTGTTTATATGCTTATATGATATTTATATGCTTATAGTAAGATCTATAATAACAGAATATATTGAGCTGGTGAATGCTCCAACACTGGAAGTTTTTAAGAAGAGACTGGACAGCCGTTTGTCTGAAATGATGTAGGGTTCCTGCCTGGGCAGGGGGTTGGACTCGATGACCTCCAAGGTCCCTTCCAACTTTATTATTATTATAATCTTGCACATCTGAATGTGCTTTCCCCTCCCTCCTTTTATCTCCATGTGAATTAGGGAGAAGAAAAAAGCCAATACAATCCTAGGCTGTGTTAACAGAGGGACAGAATCAAGATCATGTTAAGTATTAGTACCGCTTTATAAAGCCTTGGTAAGGCCACACTTGGAATACTGCATCCAGTTTTGGTCACCACAATATAAAAATGATGTTGAGACTCTGGAAAGAGTGCAGAATGGAGCAACAAATATGATTAGGGGCCTGGAAGCTAAAACATATCACGAACAGTTGCAGGAATTGGGTAAGTTTAGTCTAGTGAAAAGAAGGACTAGGGGCTGACATGATAGCAGTGTTCCAATATCTAAGGGACTGCCACAAAGAAGAGGGGGTCAACCTATTTTCCAAAGCAGCAGAAGGCAAGGCAAGAAACAATGGATGGAAACTAAATGAGGAGGGGAGCAAGAACTAAGGAGAAATTTCCTAACAGTGAGAACAATTAACCACTGGAACAGGCTTGCCTTCAGAAGTTGTGATTGCTCCATCACTGGAGACGTTTAAGAAGGGACTAGACAGTCACTTGTCTGAAACGGTATAGTCCTCCATAATTTTTAAAAGTGGTAAGGAGTTATGAGAGAAAAAAGTAAAAAAAAAAAGAAAGAAAGAAACACTCATTTAATTTTAGACAATCCCAGATTGTGTTTGGTAACATGTCTCAGGTTTAGACTATAAATACTAGAACACTAGATGGCAGTACTATAAAGAGAAACAGACATTTCTGCTGCCATCCAGAGGTTATTCCAATCACTGTCGCCCATAGTTGATAACCAACCAACAAAAATATTGCTCATTATGTGCCCCAAAGTGGAATCAACAGAATTAATCAACAAAAACTAGTAACAGTAAAAATTACATCACAGCAATAAAAGCCGTATACAACACGATATATTTACAGTCACTATAAAAATAGCCTTATACCATAAAGAGTTGCTAGTTGATCAAATGGTCTTAAAAATCAAATAAATAATCAAATAAATACCTAAAACCCTGCACCTAAACCTGACAACTAACTTGGCTAATTACAATGCTGTATCCCTTGCCTTTTAACTTTACTGTCTTTCTCAACTACCATTAGCAGTACTTTTGTCTCTTTAATTTGTCTCTTTAATTAAATCAGTAAATTTTCAAGTCCATCTGAAATACATGCAAAGATGTCTAGAGTTAGAGTAGGAGAAGGGAACAAAAGGATCTAATTGGGGATCAAGGTACTGAAATGAATACAAACAAGATGGAGGCACATTTGAAAAAAGTCCCTGTCCGGGTCATGTTCTGTAATCATGCCAAGACAGGACTGTGGCAATTAATAGAAATGGCTAACCTCAGTTCTTTAATTACAATAATATTAACAATTTTACTCCTCCTATGCCTGAAGAGAAAAGTTTTCAATCAGTGTGTCAAGTCCTCCCCGGGCTCGACATTCAAAGAGGGGGAAGGTGGCAGGTCAGCACGTTGAAGGTCGGACACAGTGTGTGCTACGTGTTCTACCATATGCCAGCAAAATATGGACACTAACCTCACAATCGATACAAAAGCTACGAGTGGCGCAGAGAGCCATGGAAAGATACATGCTCAGTATCACAAGACAAGACAGAAAGACCTGCACATGGATTAGAGAACAAACGAAAATACACAATGCCACCGAAAGAGTAAAAGAATGGAAATGGAAATGGGCTGGTCACATAGCAAGAAGAACTGGTGCCAGGTGGACCAAGGCAGTCATAGAATGGATCCCACTTGATAAAAAGCGTCCACAAAAGAGACCTAAAACAAGCTGGATTGATGACATCAGCAAGTATTGTGGGCCCAATTGGCAAAAGAAAGCTTAAGACTGTATTGGTTGGAAACATGCGGAACAGGCCTTCATCCTGCAAACAACAGCTACAATGAATATTAAGAGTTTAATTTGGGTTCTGACTCCCACAGGTGAAATGTAGGCTGACCCATTTAACCGAATAGATACAATTATCTATTTGGGGGGGGGGGAATCACAAAGTAAAAGCAGACTTAACATCTTAACCTATTTTCATGCTACTTTACAGGGTCCTCAAATGCTATAAAAACAGGTGGCTCTCCCTGGAATGTGGTGCTGATACATTTTCTATCTCTCCCCCAATTTTAGCTCAAAGTTCCACAAGCAAGCAACAATGTGTATATAAAATTTTGGTAACCACAGTTGGGGCCAGCAACTCAATCCTTATGCAAAGCAGTTTCTAAGTGAAACAGTGAATATATTTATGATCTTATTTCAGTTTTCCTTTGCTTACAGACCAGCGAAGATTGCAAATGCAAGGATTGGTAGTAAAGTTACATTTTCATCACCATTGTTAACTGTGAATGATCACTAAATGAGGACTACTTATATTTAACATTGGTTATTTTAAACCATTTGCAACTGGCTTAATTCCAAAAATATAAAATTCAGGTAACTTACCAAGTATATTGGTAGTTTCCACTGTGTGAAAAGAGACCAGGGATGGCAGAGATGATTGAGAGATTGTCTTTCGGTACTCAGCCCCTTCTTGACTAACTGTGACAGGATGTACTATATCGCCGAATAAAAGAATAAAAAACTTAAGAAAACTATTCCAAACATTCCTACTGTGTAAAATATCAAATATACCCATGCTCTTCTAAAAAATAATTTTGGACTTTTTAATTGTACACACATACAAACAAAGGATAGACTTAAAGCAACCCAAACTTTGATAACAAATACGAATATAAAATATTGGGAAACAACATTTTTAATATTAAAATAATTAGGATCAGAACAAAAGAATCTATTGCCATAAAAACAATTAAATGAAATGACAGTGGCTATTGATTTATGGTACATTTACAAAATCAGAAAAACTACGTTCAACTTTCCCCAAAACATAAATTACGAAGAAAAGACAGCAAAGGACGGCTCAAACTAGCCAGCTCAAAGGACGGCTCAAACTAGCCGGCTCAAAGGACGGCTCAAACTAGCTTTGCCTATAAGGAACACATGAACATCACTTCTGCAAAAAATATAGGATCAACACACATACAAGGCAAATAAAATTGAAGAATGAAGTATTACCTGCTCCAGTGACAGAAGATGGGAACATTATTGATTTTTCAGATGTAACAGTCATTTCTTTAATTCTACTCTCAGTAATCGAAGAGAAACTATCTGTAACAGAAAAAATATGGAATGTGGAAAACATTGCTGTAGAGCCAGAAGGTGGGTGTTGAGTTGTTATCTCCTGTGGTGAGGTTCCTTTTGGCAGCATGGCAGAAGAGTGGGCGTGGGAAAGACTGGTTTGTTCCTCAGCAGAGGTTAGCTCAGTCATGCCAACAGCAGCGGTCGTGGTGACAATAGAGGCTACCGACTCTGCGGAGGACATGGTTTCTGGGACTGCAGTGCTTGAGCGTGCCGAATGGAGCGAAGAGGTGGTACCTTCTTTAGCTGGGGTGGATTCTGCATGAATAGAAGAACTCCTGCCATGGGATGCAATGGTGGTCTCCGAGGGAGACGATGGCGGCAAGGTCCGAGCCGGAGAGGATACAGTCGGCATGGAAAGAGACCTGGCCACGGGAGACTCGGATGCTGGGGATACTGTTTTGCTCACTTCTGCTGAGGTCAGTTCAGCCTTAATGGGAGAAACCTTGCTGATGATTGGCGTGGTTTGACCTTCAAGAGACGTGAAGCCAGTCTCCACAGTGGAAGGCAGCCTCATCGGGGTGGATCCGGTCACCTCCAGAGTCGAGGTTCTCAGCTGCGGAGCCATAGGAGATGTTGCCGAAGAGAGGAAAGGGCTGGTCCCCTCAGCTGCTGTTGATTCGACCTTGGCTGGAGGACTGGCGGACCGGAAGGAGACGGTGCTTTCTTCGCTAAGGGCAATGTAAGAGTGGTAAGAGGAAGGGGAAGAAGTTGGTGTGGAAACGGTGGTGCCTTGAGCAGAGCTCACCTCCGGTTTCGTTGTGGAAGAGCCAGAAGGCGGGGGTTGAGTTCTGCTCTCCTGTGGTGAGGTTCCTTTCGGCTGCATGGCAGAAGAGTGGGCGAGGGAGGGACTGGTTTGTTCCAGGGTGGAGGTTAGCTCAGTCATGCCAACAGCAGTGGTTGTGGTGACAATAGGGGCCACCGACTCTGCGGAGGACATGGTTTCTGGGACTGCAGTGCTTGAGTGTGCCGAATGGAGCGAAGAGGTGGTGCTTCCTTCTGTTGGGGTGGACTCTGCATGAATAGAAGAACTCGTGCCGTGGGATGCAATGGTGGTCTCCGAGGGAGACGATGGCGGCGAGGTCCGAGCCGGAGAGGATACAGTCTGCATGGAAAGAGACGTGGCCAGGGGAGACTCGGATGCTGGTGAAGCTGTTGTGGTCACTTCTGCTGAGGTCAGCTCAGCCTTCGTGGGAGAAACCTTGCTGAAGGTTGGCGTGGTTTGATTTTCAAGAGACGTGAAGCCAGTCTCCACAGTGGAATGCGGCCTCATCGGGGTGGATCCGGTCACCTCAATAGTCGAGGTTCTCAGCTGAGCAGCAATAGGAGATGTTGCCGAAGAGAGGGAAGGGCTGGTCCCCTCAGCTGCTGTTGATTCGACCCTGGCTGGAGGACTGGCAGACCGGAAGGAGACGGTGG